TTTTTTTTTTTTTTTTTTTTTTTTTTTTTTTTTTTTTTTTTTTTTTCTGCGTGGTATCAGTTCAACTTATTTGGGATGCACACGAAACGAAAACGAAAAGAGTGCATCTGCCCATGAAAGGTGGAAAAGTACACTCGGTACTATTTACAGCAAACCCACCAACCTGGCCATTTTCTGCAGGAAGATGCCCTCGTTTCGTTTTTTGTTTCGTGTGCAGTGGGGCGAAGCCCTTGGTTGCCTTCTGGAGCAGGTGCATTCCCAAGTTCCCAGCGACACCCTTCTGCGAAAGGACAAAAAGGAAGAAAAAAAAAGAGACGAAAAAGAAAAGAGCAGACAACCCCCTCGCATCCCCTCCCGCCCTGCTATCTCGTCCGCCCTTCCTCCCAAAGAGGAAACAGTGGACGTGGACCGCAACGGACAAGCACGACCTACCCAGCCTACCGCAGGTCGCCCGCTCACCAACCGGTCTTAGACTTGCGGGCGACCAGACCCTTCCACGTGAATTTCGAAAGCCCGAAAAGACCCCGCCAGAGCTTCATTGCGGTCGACGTCAACGACAAAAAGACAATTGCACTAAGCGCAGCCTTTTGGCTGCGAATAGGGTAGGAAAAACATGGGGCCTTGTTAGACACCACTACGCTGGAAAAAAAAAATTGTAGGCCGGCCCTACAGACGCCCTACTACTAGTAGGGTGGCCCTACAAATCGCTGCATGGCATTATTTCACACTGTCAGCCACCACCTTACCTTTGGACCTGTCCTACTGGCTCAGCGGACGAGTATCCCATCTAATTAGATGCTCTTCCAGCGGAACTTGTTCAACCACACTAGGCTGGAAGTTTTACTGACTGCCACTGCATGGCGAGCCCGATGCTTGCATGAGCATTGAGAACACACTTTCAGCTACCCCCAAGCTAAGCAATGCATTGTTATGATTCTGGTTGTTTGTTGTCTGAGACCAACACTAGCACACATAGACTTCCAGGTATGCCCATACATACACAAAAGGAAGGAGAGAGGATAGGAGTATCACACTGCACAAAGAGAGAGAAACACAGCGGAAGACTTGACCATGCCATATGACAGGGTACACTGAAAGTGCAATTCACTCCACTCAATCCTCACAACCATCATAAAGAAAAGCCGAGTAGACCACATCCAGGAAAACAATGAAACGATGATAGTCCAAACCCAGTTACACACTGTTTATTAAACTCAGTCTCGAATTGTCAGGATAACCCAGTACTACAGTGCGCTGCTCAGAAATGAGCACCACTTCACTCCCCAACCCTGAGTAACCACTCGTAACACCCCTGAGCCCCTGAGACATCAAGCGCCACCCAGATACAGCCTCAAAAGGGAAGCGCCACCCTGAAACATGCCTCTGAGGCCAAGCGCCACTCAGAGGATGAAGAAGAAGACCAGCGCCACAGAATCTGATGATGACGAAGTGTCGGAAGACTTCTCGGGTGGAAGTCTGCAGCAGCGCCACCAAACCCTGACAAGATGACCTCGGAGGAAGAAGCTGCAGCTATGGCTGCAGCGCCATCACCCTAGAACCCCACTCCGGAGGAGGGTCCAGCAGGGCATCAACTTCTCCTGCCTCCAGCAGACCTCGATAGCCCAGACCTCTGTCAGCCCCTGCATGTTGGCAGAGTACAGCGCAGGTCCCAGCTACGGCCGGCGCTCTGATGGTCTGGCTATGCCTGTCTCCTTCCACGCTGAGCCGTCACCACTTCCGGTTCACTAGTAGCGCAGCAGCGATGTACTCGGTACCAACTGCCAAAAGCCCTTAACCGATGTGCCCATCCTATCTATAGACTACAACTAGCCTAGACTCGACCTAGACCGGACTGATTGACTGACCGGTACCGATTCAGTTTCGGCCTCTCGGCCTCTACCATACCCGGCTATAGGCTATAGGACCGTCTATCAGCATCGGCCCTTAGGGCCTGTCTGTCCTAGGGGTAGCCCGGGCCTGCTATTCGCAGTTACTAGGGTAGCAATAGGAAATTCAGTTAGTGTTGGGCCTGTATTTTCCCAAATTTGCAGGTATGTCCCTCACGAATTTCCACTACAGGTAGGTCTCTCGGTTAGCCCTCAGCCAAACAAAATTACGAATCTACCCTACCTATGGTACGGCCTCGACAGAGAGAGGCTACAAGCGACCAGAAAACAGCAAGTCATTGCACATCATAGACAGTGCATTCGTCCATTCACGGAGCATGGACGGTGCTTAAAGAAGAGTCAAATCACACAACGGACGAAGCGAAAGTGAGAGAATTGACGACCGCTTTTGAGCAACTTTGGGTAGATCCACACGAAAGGATAGGGAAGTTGTATTGGGGCAGGGGCGCAACACGACCAGGAGCGCTGCGTCCCGCCCGCGCAGTCGGGCTGAGCGGCATCGAGCGGTGACAAGCGGCGGAATGACGCAAAGTCGTACTGAGCGGCGCCGGACGACATCAAGCGGTGGAGCGGCGTGATGTTGGGGGGAGTGGATTCGGGGTGGTGTGAGGTGGCGGTTGGGAGGCTTTGGGTGAATGGATGATGATGGGAAGGATGGTAACGAGGGTGGTGCATCGTGCGCCGAG